GTTTTCTTACCCCTTGTCCAGCCACAATCTAGGCCTTTGCTTGTGTTATGCCTGGAAACCTTTTACCCTTCTTTGCTGCCTGAATTATCTGCTGATTCTTTCATTACACCTTTTCCTGAGGCATAATGTTGACTTTTCCCTGCAGACAACAAATGTTATCTTTATTATGTTATTTGTAATTTGTTGCAAACATTTACTTTATGTGTCTGTCTCTCCAGTTCTAATTTGAGTTCCATGAACATTTGGATTGTATCAAAGTAATTTTTTAATTTTGTGAGACTAACACAATTGCTTGTATGTAGTGGCATTAAGTGTTTATTTTATGAACGAATGGAGCCATGCCTAAAAGAACATCTCAAACTTTCAGCAGATATTTATTTTCTACTTGGTCCTTGCCATCGTACTCAGTGCTAGCAATACAAGTCAAACAGGCACAGTCCTGCTTTCAAGGTACTCATTAATTTATTAATTTATTTACTCTTATACTGAAGGGGTTTAATAATACACATTTAACATCTATGTTTCAATATTGTGATTTGTCTTATATCCTGACCCTTGTCTAGACCCTAATCTTAACCATTTATGAAATAAAAGAGTATGGATTAGATGACCTAGAAGAGTTACCATCGTTGACTATTACTAGATTTTTAAGCTCCTTGATAACAGGAATCATCTTTCACTTCTACTGGCAGCTTATATTATAGGGCCAAGTATAGTATCTCACACTGAGTGGTTGCTTAGCAAATTTTAAAGAAAGAGGTGATGTCAGTGAATACTTCAGATGAATTTGATTCTATTTTTCACTCCATTTATCTCGTTATGTTACTTCTCGATGCTTTGGAATATCTGCATTTCCTTAATCTAGTGCCTTCTGAACAACTTTTAAAAATATATGCAGTTGGCTGTTGAACAATGCAAGGGCTAGGAGTACTTACCCCCCATGCAGTCAAAAAACTGTATACCTTTTGACTTCTCAAAAAAGTAACTACTAATAGCCTGCTGTTGACCAGAAGCCTTACCAATAACATAAACAGTAGATGAAACACATACTTTGTATGCTAAAGGCATTATATGCTGCATGCTTACAATAAAATAAGAGAAAAAAATATTAAAATCATACAGAAGAGAAAATGCATTTACAGTAATGTACTATATTGAAAAAATTCACATATAAGTGGACCCACACAGTTCAAACTCATGTTGTTCAAGAGTCAACTGTGTATGGGGCGCCTGGGTGGCGCAGTCGGTTAAGCTTCCGACTTCAGCCAGGTCACGATCTCGCGGTCCGTGAGTTCGAGCCCCGCGTTGGGCTCTGGGCTGATGGCTCGGAGCCTGGAGCCTGTTTCCGATTCTGTGTCTTCCTCTCTCTCTGCCCCTCCCCCGTTCATGCTCTGTCTCTCTCTGTCCCAAAAATAAATAAAAACATTGAAAAAAAAAATTAAAAAAAAAAAAAAGAGTCAACTGTGTATATTTTTTACTTTATCCCCCTTAACAACTCTGACAAGAAGGTAAGGTGGTGGTTTATCTCCATTTTTCAACTGAGGAAACAGTATTCTGAGATCATAGCCAAGGAACAGCAGAATCATACTCAGTCCCAGGTCTCCTGACCCCAGATCCATTGGACTGCCACTCTGTTTCCTTCTCTGAAATGACGGTTTCTTCCTGATCTAAGTACCCCTGGTATCTACCTTTTAACATAGTGTATCAGTAAGGGGTCTTTGAGAAGTCATAGAAATGTGTTAGCTTTAGCAAAGTGAGAATTAATTGGTAAAATCATGGAGAGTCTCAGATGATTGGTGAGAAGGCTTAACATCAAACTGGGAAATGGACAGGAGTCAGGGTAGCTCCTGGAGTTCCAGACGCAGGGACCTAAAGAGACACCACCACAGAGGGACCATACTCCAAGTGATTTTCTTGGAGTATTTTCTTGGAGTATTTTCTTGGAGTATTATCTGCTCGAGATTCAAAGCAAGGAGGCGCATTATGTTGGCATAACTTGGGTCATCTTTATGTCCTTTGATTAGTGCAGTGGTCCTCAGCTGGTGGCAGTTATGTCCTCCCAGTGGGCAATGTCTAGAGGCATTTTTAGTGGGGGGCGATTGCTACTGGCATCTAGTGGGTAGAGGCCAGGAATACTTCTAAACATTGTCAGCCCCCCAAAACAGAATAATCTAGCTCCATAGATCATGAGTGTTGAGATATCCTGGATTAGGGGAAGGCGCCTCAATTAATAGTCCCAGCAGACGTATCCTGTTGGGGGGAGAAGGAAACTAAACGTTCTTACCAAAAATGATAGAATAGATTCTGGACAGCCAAAGACAACACAAAAACAGAAAAGTCATACAAACAAGAGCAATAATTACAGTTTGGGACTGTGAGGTGAATTACACATTTGTAAATGTAATACTTGAGGTGTCTCAAAAAAAGGCACATTTATAAAAATATTTGAAATTCTGAGCTTTAACTTCAGCAAGATTCTAGGGGATTATTTTTAAAAAAGATTCTTTGAGGGGCGTCTAGTTGGCTCAAGTCTTTTGAGGTTCTGACTCTTGATTTCAGCTCAGGTCATGATCTCACGGTTCATGGGATCGAGCCCTGCATTGGGCTCCGTGCTGACAGCCTAGAGCCTGCTTGGAATTCTCTCTCTCCTTCTCTCTGTCCCCTTGCTACTTGCATATGCACACTCTTTCTCTCTCTCTTTCTTTCTCTCAAAATACGTAATAAAATAAACATTTTTTTAAAAAGGGTTCTTTGGTGGGGCACCTGGGTGGCTCAGTCGGTTAAGCGGCCGACTTCGGCTCAGGTCACGATCTCACGGTCCATGAGTTCGAGCCCCGCGTCGGGCTCTGTGCTGATGGCTCAGAGCCTGGAGCCTGTTCCAGATTCTGTGTCTCCCTCTCTCTGACCCTCCCCTGTTCATGCTTTGTCTCTCACTGTCTCAAAAATAAATAAACGTTAAAAAAAATTTTTTTTTTTTTTTAAATAAAAAAAAATAAAAAGGGTTCTTTGGGGCACCTGGGTGGCTCAGTCAATTAAGTGTCTGACTCTTGATTTCAGTTCAGGTCATGATCTTGGTTGTGAGATCATGCCGTGTGTCCAGCTCTGCGCTGTAAGCGCAGATTTTTGGGATACTCTTTCTCCCTTTTTCTGACTCTTCCCCACTTTTTCTCTCTCTCAAAAATAAACATTTAAAAAATTTTTGTTTAATGTTTATTTATTTTTGAGAGAGAGCATGAGCAGGGGAGGGCCAGAGGGAGATGGAGACACAAAATCTGAAGCTGTCAGCACAGAGCCTGACACGGGGCTGGAACCCACTAGCTGTGAGATCATGACCTGAACCAAAGTTGGACACTTAACAACCGAGCCGCCCAGGTGCCCCAAATAACCATTTTTTTAAAAAAAAAAAAAAAGGATGCTTGGGGCGCCTGGGTGGCGCAGTCGGTTAAGCGTCCGACTTCAGCCAGGTCATGATCTCGCGGTCCGTGAGTTTGAGCCCCGCGTCAGGCTCTGGGCTGATGGCTCAGAGCCTGGAGCCTGTTTCCGATTCTGTGTCTCCCTCTCTCTCTGCCCCTCCCCCATTCATGCTCTGTCTCTCTCTGTCCGAAAAATAAATAAAAAACGTTGAAAAAAAAAATTAAAAAAAGGATGCTTGGGGTGCCTGGGTGTTTCAGTAGGTTAAGCATCCAACTTTGGCTCGGTCATGATCTCATGGTTTGTGAGTTTGAGCCCTACGTCAGGCTTTCTACTGTCAACACAGAGTCCACTTTGGATCCTTTGTCCCCCTCTTTCTTTGCCCCTCTCCCACTCAACGCTCTTTCTTCCTCTCTCTCTCTCTGTCTCTCAAAAATAAATAGAACATTTAAAAAAAATAGGATTCTTTGAATTGAAACTTAAAAAGAATAAATGTATAAAGAATGTATAGTGTATATATATTTAATTCAGTAATAATTTAGGTTTCTGAGGGGAATTGTGAATAACCTATACGACTTGATTAGAATCAAACTACCACTTACGGACTGTGGACTAAACTAAAGCACTTTTCAGGGAACTTCTAGTTTAAAGTTAGAACAGCTTAGGGGCACCTAGGTGGTTCACTCGGTTAAGCATCTGACTCTTGATTTCAGCTCAGATCATGATTTCATGGTTGTGAAACAGAATCATGTGTCAGGCTCAGGGCTGGGTGTGGAGCCTACTTAAGATTCTCTCTCCCCCTCTCCCTCTGCACTTCCCCTGCCTGTGTACATGAGCATTCTCTCTCTCTCTCTCTCTCTCTCTCTCTCTCTCTCTCTCCCGAAAAAAAGGAACAGCTTATTCTCTTGAACTATTGAAATCAAACACAGCTAGAACATAATTATATTCTCTAAATGGGAAAAGCATTATTCTTCAAACTGATTGAATCCAGCATCCAAATTTGATTTGGATCCATGGATAATTTACCATAACTGTATGCTAATTTTAATTATTTAGTAAAAATGTTTCACATTATACCTGATTGTAGGATAATATTTTGTAAGGGATCCTTTCACTTGTTAGCAACTTTAGATGTTGCTTGTACATAAAAATGTGAAGAAGATGGATCTGTGGGTTGTGCAGTCCTATGTTAGAATTTCTCTAACACTTACCTTGTTCTTTGTCTAAATGGTAATTCATGTGAAATACAAGTCAAAGGAAGGTTGATTCATCCCATAATTTTCCTACCATTTCTTTCAACTTTGTTCATATTTTTTGAGTATGGGCCTTATGTATGAGACTCATCACTGGCTTATTTTACTTTCATAGTTTATAACACTTTTGCTGTACCAGGTCTGTTTTACTACCCTGAGGAAGTCTAGAAATGACTAGAAGCTTTTCTTCCCTTCCCTTCTGACATGGTGGCTTTGGGCCCAGCTGTCAGAGGGACCTACTGCCAGATTGCCAAGCTGTGTGCTGAGTGAGCTTCATACTGCCTGCGGTCATCAACCCCAGACTCCATAGTTCACCTCAGGAGGATGTCGTTTCAGGTGAACCACTGTCTCCCAGAGAAGATTGTGGTATACCGTGACGGAGTGTCTGATGGCCAACTAAAGACAGTTGCCAACTATGAGATTCCTCAGCTACAGAAGTGTTTTGAAGCTTTTGAGAATTATCAGCCCAAGATGGTAGTATTTGTAGTTCAGAAGAAAATCAGTACCAATTTGTACCTGGCTGCTACCGAGCACTTTGTGACTCCCTCCCCTGGGACTGTGGTAGATCATACCATAACAAGCTGTGAGTGGTAAGTGGGGAAAACATTATATTTCAGCAAGAATAGGTTGGAGGGGTTATTTGTTCCTTGGGTATTGGAATGGGAAGGTTGACTAGAGAGATGTGGAATGGAATCCTCAGAGATTTTATGGTCATAAAATATTTTCAAAACAACTGAAGAACAAACCAACAATAAATCTTTTACCTCAAGTATAAAATATTGAACGCACATTCTTTTCCTAAGATTATGTATACTTTTAACTTCCTGCACACAGATTTGGTAGTTTCTGCTACCGATCCCTTTTTTTTTTTTCTTAACAATTTTAAGTAATTTTACACTCAATGTGGGACTCAAACTTACAACTCTGAGATGAAGAGTCACACACTATTAACTGAGCCAATCAGGTACCCCTCTAATACCATATACTGTTGAGTCCAGATTCCTGAGCTATAATATGGTTTGGTCTGTGTGTATCCTTGATCCAGTCATTTGACCTCTCTGAGCCTTAGGTGAAGGAGGCAAAATGATCACCAAGATCTTTTTCAGCTCTCTTTGGCCAAATCTGACCATATCATTCCTTTGTACGTTTTCCTTCCTAGGGTGGACTTCTACCTTCTTGCCCATCACGTACGGCAGGGTTGTGGCATTCCTACCCATTATGTCTGTGTTCTCAACACTGCAAACCTGAGTCCTGATCACATGCAGAGGTGAGCTGACCAATAACTTACTCTTTCTCATAATTAATCATGGCCAACTAGCTAAGATGGGGTCACTGCCACCTGACTGGAATATTTACCCTTTAATTTTTTTCATGTCTTTCATAATGGTATTTTTTTTGAAGAGTGATTGGTAATTCCTGTGCACTTTAAAATTACTTGAAGAGGGGCGCCTGGGTGGCGCAGTCGGTTAAGCATCCGACTTCAGCCAGGTCACGATCTCGCGGTCTGTGAGTTCGAGCCCCGCATCAGGCTCTGGGCTGATGGCTCGGAGCCTGAGCCTGTTTCCAATTCTGTGTCTCCCTCTCTCTCTGCCCCTCCCCCGTTCATGCTCTGTTTCTCTCTGTCCCAAAAATAAAATAAACGTTGAAAAAAAATAAATAAATAAAATTACTTGAAAAGCTTAAAACAAAACATTGGTAAAGCTGATGCCCAGGCTTTACCCCAAGCATTCTTAGGCATTCGTATTTTAAGAACTGCTCTGGGGGCGCCTGGGTGGCTCAGTCGGTTAAGTGGCCAACTTCGGCTCAGGTCATGATCTCGCGGTCCGTAAGTTCGAGCCCTGCATCAGGCTCTGTGCTGACAGCTCAGAGCCTGGAGCCTGTTTCAGATTCTGTGTCTCCCTCTCTCTGACCCTCCCCCGTTCATGCTCTGTCTCTCTCTGTCTCAAAAATAAATAAACGTTAAAAAAAAAAAAAAAAAACTGCCCTGGGGGTGCTTGGGTGGCTCAGCTGGTTAAGAGTCTGAATTTTGATTTCTGCTTAGGTCATGATCTCATAGTTCATGAAATCAAGCCCCACATCCGCTCTGTGCTGACAGCAGGGAGGCTGCTTGGGATTCTCTCTCTTTGGCCCTCCTTTGCTCACTTGCATGTGCTTGCACACATTCTTTCTCTCTCTCTCAAAATAGATAAACATTTTTAAAATTTTGTTTATTTTACTTAAAACAATTTTTCAATTTTTTAATGTTTATTTTTAAGAGAGAGAGAGACAGAGTGTAGGGGCGGGGGGAGGAAGAGAGAGAGAGGGAGACACAGAATCCAAAGCAGGCTGTAGGCTCTGAGCTGTCAGCACAGAGCCCAATGTGGAGCTCAAACCCACGAGTTGTGAGATCATGGCCTGAGCTGAAGTCAGATGCTCCACTGACTGAGCCATCCAGGTGCCCCTTATTTATTTATTTTTGAGAAAGAGAAAGTATGAGCTGGGGAGAGGCAGAGAGAGGAGAGAGAGAGCATCCCAAGCAGGCTTGCACTGTCAGAGCAGAGCCTGACACGGGGCTCAAACCCATGAATCGAAGTCAGAAGCTCAACCAACTGAGCCACCCAAGTGCCCCAAACATTTTTTTAAAAAATAATTCTTTTAAGAAAAGAAACTACTCTAGATAATTACAACACACAGCCAGTTTTAAGACCCAATGTCATCGGGCTCAGATTATTTCAGTATTTTGCTGGGGTACTTAACGCATTCTTCAGCCTATTCTTGAGGCAAAAAAAAAAAAAAAAAAAAAAAATCCTGTTGTTTTCCTTGTTTCAGTCTAAAAATGAGGGTACCTAAAGTGAGGGAATTTACCCATGTCCTCTTACTTACAAATAGAAATGAAATGAAATAATTCCACTTAAAAGTAATGATTCCCAAAAGTTGCATCATGTATTTCTTAGTTCCCCAGTTTTCTGGAAAGCATGCTGTGTGTCATACACCCATTAGTACCTAATCATGTCCCAAAATTAAAGGTGGAGAGTGATTTGGATCCTATTTTCTTCTTGGCCTACAGGTTGACTTTCAAGCTGTGCCACATGTACTGGAACTGGCCTGGCACCATCAGAGTCCCAGCTCCCTGCAAGTATGCCCACAAGCTAGCTTTTCTGTCAGGACAGATCTTGCATCATGAACCAGCCATCCAGCTGTGCGAAAACCTGTTCTTCCTGTGACTGGGCAGCCAGGATATGGGTGCTTAGGGAGATTAGACTTCTGAACTCAGCTGCAACTCAGGCAGGATCAAGAGGGACCCAAGGGGTTTTTGTGTTGGTGGTGGGTTGTTGTGTGTGTTTGTGTGTGTGTTTTTTTTTTACCAACCTGGTAGAATAAGATTTCTTTTTTCTTTTTTTTCTGTTTTATACCTGATATCACCAAGAAGTAAGTTCCATTTCTAAATATCAGCTGGAAATTTCCTTGTTGCCTTTGTAGAGCAAGTGGTGGCAGTACAGGTCCTGTATATATGGAGGGGGTGAATACAAGGGAACTTCTAAAAGCCCCCATAGCCAACATGAGCTGTGGAAACCTGCAGAAACAGCAGTTACACCTTGTAAGTTATGCTTACTAAGCACTCCCTATTTCTGTGCCAGAGGTGATAATGAATGAAGTCATTCCAAGTTTCTTGAAGTAGAGAGTTACTTTATTTGGGCAACTGAGAAAGGTAGTAAAAACACCTGTGAGGCAAAGTTTTTCTAGATATTGTGATTGCTAGTAAGTGTGAAAGGCACGTAGTAAAACCAGCTGGTGGCATAGTCAAGTCCTACTGACCTAATCTTGTCTGGGAATTGAGTTTATGACACCTGTGCCTTGAGTTGGCTTTGAAGCTTTGAAAGGGGCATTTAGCCATTCCTTGGCCTCCTGAGAAAGGCCAGATGAAGTTTTTTTCTGTATATTTTAGTTGCTTTACAGTGTACCATGTTGATTTCTTCCTACACCACCTACCCCGCCCACCCCACCCCCCCACACATTGGCTCTTTGTTATTGATCTTTAATAAAGTTTCAGCTTTTAAATTAAGAATCAGAACACGGTGAAATTCAACAGCTAGGAAGATTCATGATGGAGTGAGTCTTTCTTAAACCTTTTTCCTGGGTGTGTGGCCTTCTTTTCGTTGATGTGTTTGTAAATGGAATCACTCATTTCCCTTGCTCAATAACCTATTCCTGGCTGTTGGCTCATATTGTTAGGAATTTTTCTGAATCCAGCTTAAGATTTCCAAAAGTCAGCTTTGGAAAACATGACACTCCTGCCAGAGTCCAGACATTTCAGCTTAGAAAATTGTCAATATGTCTGTGGGGTTTTTTTGTGTTTATTTTTCCCTGTTTTAAAATCCTCTGACCCCTTCAGGGTTAATTCAGTTTTAACTTGCTTTAACTGGTTTTAAATGCCAATTTTATTTACCCATTTCAAATTTGTATTTATTTATTTATTTTTTGGAGTGATGGCAGGGAGGGGACAAAGCAGAAACTCCCATTTTATATAATAGTGTCTGAGAAGAGAAACTTTAGCTTAAAACTCCTTAGAAGAATAAAAGCAAGCAAGTTTTCAGTTTGTTGCAGCCCCACAGAGGTTGAGGAACTTTGAATGAGTGTTGCTAGTCCTGAAGTGCACTCCTAGTTTCATTTAGAGTGTGGGACATAGGGCAAGGCTAAACTCTGGAATTTAAAACCCACTGAATCAAACAAATTGGACCACTGGTCTCCGTCTCAACAGATCAGCTTTCTGATTCTCTGTGGAAGCATTTTGAATTTCTCTTTTGAAGTTGGATTTCCTAATACTCATTTTCTCTTATATAATCAGAAAAGACAAATGCTTGAATATAATACAAAATTTCTTCACTTTTATTCCTGTTCTCTTGCTTTTTTTTTTTTTCAGTCTTAGTGTGCAATGATTGGGCTGTGGGGTGGGAAATAAATAAAAACAAATTTGTATAAACATGTAGTTGTATTTGAAATAGTGCTGTTGATATATTGATATAGTTCTTTTCCTTTGTAGAGCTGTATAGCATTTGTTAGAATTACTGATTTATTACTCAGCAAGCAAGGTGCAGCTTCAGTAATATTAGGTAATTTCACTGTGATCTGGTAGTAAGATTTCTTGGAAAATAAGACTAATAGTCTTACTTCTGGGACAATTGAGGGGTGTGTGTGTATGTGTTGTTTTTCAAATCTGTTTTCCCATCAGACAGTTTCTATTAGCCTATGTGAAAGCTCCAAGAGTGGCCTCTTCTCTCCCCTTATTCTAATGCTTGCCCTTCTTTCCATATACTTTACAGTGTGTCTATACCCCCTTAAAAATACCTTCCCAAAGCACCCTGGTTGCTTGCTTCACTACTACATCTCTTTCAGTTTATTTAGAAACTCCATTCTGAAATGGTGCAGTGCTTCTTGAACTCATTCTCAAGAGAACCAATTTTTTAAAAAGTAGGCTCTTTGCCCAACATGGGACTTGAACTCATGACCCCAGATCAAAAGTCACATGCTCTACGGACTGAACCATCTAGCCACCCCTAGACAGAACCTAATTTCTGTACAATGTTATAGGGCCCTTTTCATTGGGCAACATTTTGTTGAATGGTGTGAAAAAGGAAGAAGTTTTTTAAATGACTGTCTCTCTACATTGAAAACAAAATTTGTGCCTGAAATTTCTCAGTGATTTGAGAGTATTGGAGAAGACCCTACTTTCACTTTGTGGCTCCATACCTAACTTTATCTGAGTTTCTTAGTTTTCCTGTCTGGATTTATTTTGTTTTTTTTTAAAAATGAGGAAAATCAAGAGAATGAGAAAATGACCCATAAACTAGGAGAAAGTATTTGCCAAAAATATTGGTAAAAGACTTATCCAAAATATACAAAGAACTCTTAATAGGAAGAAAACAAACAGCCAGATTAAAAATTGGGCAAAAGACATGACCAGACTTCTCATTAAAGATATCTACTTGGGGGGCGCCTGGGTGGCGCAGTCGGTTAAGCGTCCGACTTCAGCCAGGTCACGATCTCGCGGTCGTGAGTTCGAGCCCTGCGTCGGGCTCTGGGCTAATGGCTCAGAGCCTGGAGCCTGTTTCCGATTCCTTGTCTCCCTCTCTCTCTGCCCCTCGCCCGTTCATGCTCTGTCTCTCTCTGTCCCAAAAATAAACGTTGAAAAAAAAATTAAAATAAATAAATAAATAAATAAATAAATAAATAAATGTTAAACAAAACTAAAAAATAAATGGACACTATATGATCATAAAGGGAACAATCTATCATGAAGATATAAAAATTGTAAATATACACCCAAGGTGGGAGCACCCAAATACATAAAGTAACTGATAACAAACGTAAAGAAAGTAATTGATAGTAATATAATGGTAGCAGGGGACTTTAATACCCCACTTAGATCAATGGATAGATCACCCAAACAGAAAGTCAAGAAGGGAACGGTGGCTTTGAATGACACATTGGACCAGGTGGACCTAACAGCTATATTCAGAACATTCCAGCAGAATAACACATTCTTTTCAAGTGCACATGGAACATTATCCAGAACAGATTACATGGTAGGCCACAAAACAAGTCTTAACAAATTAGAGAAGATGAAGTCCTGCCGTGCATCTTTTCTGACCATGGTCTGAAATTAGCAATCAACCACAAGAAAAAAATCTGGAAAAGACACAAATACATGGAGGTAAATAACATGCTACTAAACAATGAATTGGTCAAAGAAGAAATCAATGAGAAAATTAAAAAATTCACGGAGAGACAAATGAAAACACAGCAACACAAAATCTTTGGGATGCAGCAAAAGGTGTTCTAAGAGAGAAGATTATAGCAATATAGGCCAACCTCAAGAAACAAAAATTCAAATTAACAACTGAACTTCACACCTAAAGGACTAGAAAACAAAACCGAAAACCAGTAGAAGGAAGGAAATAATAAAGATTAGAGCAAAAATAAATGAAATAGAAACTAAAAAAAAAAAAAATCAATGAATTCAGGATCTTTCTCTGAAAAGACAAAATTGATAACCCTTTAGCCAGACTCCTCAAAAACTAAACCTACTCTTACTATATTCTCTGGCAGTCAGTCACACTCCTTGGTATTTGCTATTTGCTCAAATGTGTTGAAAACTTATGTCCACACAAAAACCTGCATGCAGATGTTTATAGCAGCTCTATTCGTGAACTGCCAAAACTTGGAAGCAACCAAGATGTCCTTCAGTGGGTGAAAGGATAAATAAAATGTGGTACATCCAGATAATGGAATATTATTCAGCAGAAAAAAAAATCATGCCACAAAAAGACATGGAAGAAACCTAAATGTTTATTACTAACTGAAAAGCCAATCTGAAAAGGTATATGCTGTGTGATTCCAAATATTCTGGTGAAGGGAAAAACCATGGAGACAGTGAAAAGATCAGGGTTGCGGAGAGAGAGGGATGAACAGGCAGAGCACAGAAGGTTTTTAGGGCAAGGACATTTCTGTATGATATTGTAATGATGGATAGATGTCATTATATATTCATCCAAACCTGTAGAATGTGAAACATTAAGCATCAACCCTGATATAAGTTATGGACTTTGGGTGATTATGATGTGTCAATGTAGGTTCATCAGTTGTGACACATGGGTCATTCTGGTAGGGGATATTGGTAGTGGGGGAAGCTGTGTGTACATGGGAAATCTCTACTTTCCACTCAGTTTGTGTGAACCTTAAATTGCTCTAAAAAATAATTTTTTTTTTTTTTATGTGAGTAAACTAGGGAGACCTCTGGCAACATGGCAGACTGAACTGACCATACTGACAAATGTTGGCCAAAATAGAAAAAAAGATTTTTTCCTTTGGTTAGGTAGCTGAATTTGGGGGAAAATGGAATGGGGAATGGGAAAGGAAAAAGGAAAGAAAATAATCAAGGTACAAGCAAGAAAGGGAAGCCAGAATGGTAATAGCTGATTCCAACACAGCTCCCAGGGATACAGACAAAAATGCAGGAGCAGGAGCCCCCAGGATTCTTGTTCCAGTTAAGGATAGAAGATACGGTCTCACACCATATGAGGTACAGGATCCCAGGACTGAAAGCTCTTGGATGAAGAGAGCTGGAATCTAGAAGGGGAGTCAAGGGTCCCTGCCAACCATCAGCAGCAAGGAACTCCGGGGTAAAAAGGCATTCGTGAGAGATCTCAAAGCTTGGGCCACATGTAGGTATGTGCAGGCTGAATTTATATTAGGAGCATGTGGAAGGATCACAAGCTGAAAAATTACCACGAAGATTGGCTCAGACTGGTGAGAGACGCTGAGCCCTGCGGAAACAAGTGCAAAGTCAATTGAATTGCAGCCCAAAGAGGTATAAATGGGAACTATGCAAGAAAAGTGACCGGAGGAGGAAAAAAAGAAAATGAGAAAGTTGATGTTTGTCTGATAGGAGCTCTTGCAGCTTAGAGAATGAGTGACACAATATGAAAAGGTAGGATTTTCCAGAATTCAAGACAAATATCAATCCTCTACTTGGAGAAACTGAGGATAAAGAAAAGCACATTCACTTCTAGATGTACTGTACTGAAACTATAGAACCCTAAAGACAGAATCTTAGCAACAGTTAAGAGGTGAAAGACATTGCTTATGAAGTTCATCAAACTAGCAGCAGACTGTCATCATTCAACAATAGATGCTTAACACAAAAGGAATAATAAAAATGCAGCATCAACTTAGAATTCTTTTCCCAGCTAAACATTCATGCAAGGGACAGGGCAAAAACAATGATATTTTCTAATAAAGATCAGAGCAGAAATTAATGAAAGAATAGAAAAACGAGAGAAAATCAACAAAATCAATTTTGAAAATATTTAAAAAGTGGGCAAACCTCTAGCTAGTTTGGCAAAGAAAGAAAAGACTCAAATTACTAAAATCAGGAATGAAAGATAGGGGATTACTAACCTGACAGAAATAAAAAGGATTATAAGGGAATACTATGAACAATTGTATGCCAACAAACTAAGTTATCTTAGACGAAATGGGAAAATTCCTATAGTTGTTACTTAATCAAGTGTTATTTTTACCATTTGGCTTTTTTTTTTTTTTTTTTTGTCTGCTGAAAGCATTAGATGAGAACAGAAATGACTGAGGCTGAAAGGATTCTAGCTCTTTTGGCTGACAGAGTGTGGAGTGCTGGTGCTCTGACATGATTTTGGGTAAACCAGAAACTTACATTTCCTCTGATCCTCTTAAATTCATTAAAACATGCAAAAACATGAAAAACTTGGAACGCCTGAGTGGCTCAGTCGGTTGAATGTCCAGCTTCAGCTCAGGTCACGATCTCACGCTCCGTGAGTTGGAGCCCTGTGAGTTGAAGCCCCGCGTGGGACTCTGTGCTGACAGCTCAGAGCCTGCAACCTCCTTTGGTTTCTGTGTCTCCATCTGCCTCTGCCCCACCGCCAATCGTTCTCTCCCTCTCTGTCTCTTTCCCCCCTCCTCTCTCTCTCCTTCCCTCAAAAGTAAATAAACATTTAAAAAAAAAAATTTTTTTTTTTAATTAACATGGAAAACTCATTTTTCCCCTTGAAACTATCTTACCTGGTCATTGGTTTCTCTCTCCAGTCTCTTTCAACTGTTCTGAGAGCTGAGGAGTAGAAAGGGGATCTTTGGCCCACCCTACTGATCAAGTTGCCTACCTTGTCAACAGAAACCACAGAGCGAATTTTTGTTTTCTGAGTCCCCATCCCATTTTATACACGCTCATAGCTGGGGTTTTATTTCTCTGGCTTCTTCCCCAAGGCTGTTTCATTGGCTTCAGCTATGGGTAATCTGCATATCTTTTGGCTGGTAGCTGTGATACCTTGTCAAAAAGGAAATAGTCAAGAAAATGTCA